ACTTATCAATCTCCTTTCCCATTTATTCTCATGCATAAACAATACATTCTTTATAGTCTATCATTATTGCTGGTCCAGCTTTTGACTAGATGATTTAAACAGTAAGCCCAGATCTACGTGAAACAAACAAAGAGTGAAAAGGAGAAAAGGTTAAGGTTTTTGAGACTTTTACTAGATTATCGAGTAGCTAAATTTTGTTAGTTTTGACTCAAATTATACGTGAAAAATACTTACAATAAGCTTTGTAATCTTAACGATACTATCTATAATTTATCCTCTATATGATGCTTTTCTATGATACACAATTTGTGAGAGTTAAAATTTTTTTTTTATGAAATTCATCCTATTGATATATTAATGTTGAGCCAAGATATCGTTGTTGATGTTATTGTGATCCTTTGATCATTCTGGAGAAGATTTATTGTAAATTTGTTATCATTATTAGTGATAGTAAAAGTTTAAGGTGGACTATGATCCCATAGTTTTTTTCGCATTGAATTTTTCACGTAAAAATTCAGTGTTTCACTGATTTATTATTCTACTGTTTATATTGCTCTTTTGATAAGAAATTCATTTTGATATATATATATATATAATTATTTCGTTATAACAATTTTTTCCAACAATTATCAATCTCCGTTGCCATTTATTCTCGTGCATAAGCAATACATTCTTTATGGTCTGTCTATCATTCACGTACCCAACCACAGATTTAGAATGAAGAGGCTTTCTATCTAACAGGTCACCCGTTTGTCCAATTTCGGTACATTATTCTGCATGATAAGGTAAGGTGCCTAAACTTTGACTACGTTAATCTCACGACTCTATTGCACTGCGCTCCACATTAGGCCGACTGTTCTTTGTAAATACTTGAGTTAGTGTGTGGTGATGCAATCTGAAATCCGTTGTTCGATTAATTATCTGACACATTTTTTTTTTCTTCTTTTTTTATCGAGAGAAAGTTAATCGAGTCAACCTTTGGATTCGATCCAAAGAATGGCATTCGAAAAGACCAAACGGTTTTAGGTTGATGGCTTTGGAAGTTCGGTTCCGTAGATGTTTGAATTCTTCTACTGGCGATGCATAAATCTCTCCCACAGCTGCACCTCAAATACAACACGATTCATCTCGGTGGTTTCTCTTCTCTATGTACGTCGATTATGGAACAGAGATCCTCTGTTGAGAACAAGCCATCTTTATGCGATTGATCTCCTGGTGATAGTAACTCTAATTTTCTGGATGATTTCATTCTGCAATTTTTAGAATTTGGTTCTCTTTCAGTCTCTTCTCTTCTTTCGATTAAGCACTTCGCTTCCATCAGAAAAATAATCGTTTTGTTGGCGTACTCTACGAATCATTCGTGTTAGATTTATAGTCTTCTCCATCTCCACAGGGCACAGAGATATAACGCTCGAGGATGGAGACGATGTTCCTCAGCGATATCAAGAAGAAAGCCTCCTCTTATATTCAAGAGAAGTACAAAACAGCTCTTCTGGCTCTTACTGATATAACGGCAGCAGAACTGTAAGTGTTGCGCTGAAATATATGGCATTGCAGGTCAATTACTCATGTCTACGGTGAATCACTGTTTTAGATTGGCCGAAGAGGCTACGAACAATGACTCGACGGGTCCTGACGCCAAGACGATGACTCGGTTGTCGGAGGCAGCCCACGACGTGGATGACTACCGCAGAATAGTTGATGTCCTGCACAAGAGGTACGAGATCAAATGGTACTCTGCCATGGACGGCCCTGCTTCATCTGCAAGTTTCTTGTAGGTTCTGCACGATCGATTTCAAGGAATGGAGGCCATCGTACAAGGCATTAGCGCTCCTGGAATTCCTGTTAACGCATGGCCCCGAAGGCATGTCGGAAGAGTTCCACTGCGACGTCAACGTCATTCATCAGTTGGGCGACTTCCGCTACACCGACGATAAAGGGTAATCACGTCGATCGACCGACCGACCGATCGATCGGAGCGGCTAAACGTGTAGTGTTCTTGATCCGTTACGTCTCCTTGATTTCTGGCAGCTTCGACTGGGGCGCATGCATGCGGAGCAAATCCAAGAGGATACTGCGGCTGCTAGGGGACGAAGAGCAACTCAAAGACGCGCGCGCGGAAGCCCTCCGGATATCGAGAGAGATCCAAGGCTTCGGGAACCTGGTCATGTCTCCCTCCGCCTCTTCCTCGCCGTCGTCGTCGTCCTCGTCGAGGGCATCGAGAACTTGGTCCTTCGGCTCTTCCTACTCCTGGGATTGTCCGAGCTGGAACGGACCGGATGAGCCAAACAAGCGAGACGAGGCTCATCATGTATCAGGTGATTCAGTCGATCTCAAGGAGGCGGAGATGCATCTCTTGGACGCGCCTGTGCAGGAGAGCAGCTGCCTGCTGATATCGAAGAAGGAAGGCCGAGAAGGAAGCCCGGATGGTTGGTCCTCTAGATTACGTCTGCGGCTTTTTGGGAAAGATGACAAGCGACTAGCATTTCGAAGCCTCTCCGACGTGGAGAAGGAGCCGAAGAAGAAGTTCGAGCGGCAGTCTTCGCTAGGGTTTTGATCGGCCACCACCGATCCATACTCACGATATGTTTCTGTAACAAAGAACATATTGTGGCGCCGTCATGCCTTTCCACATTCAATTTTTATTATCGACTCCAACACTTGCTTTCTTTAACGTTCATTATCAAATTTTGTTGCGACATGAGGATTCTGTGCTGCTTGTAATTTTTCTTGCATTCGTTTCGATCTCATTTTCTTGCCTCGATGATGAAAGAAATATACGGAGAAGAAGTATTTTTTACTAAATTATTAAATGAATATTTATTTGCTCTCATACTCTGCAAGATTTGGAGATCTAATTGATGTTTTAATGCAGTTTCAAGTAAACACTACTTTGTTCCTTAATTAGGTTTATTTTGCAGCCACTTTTATGTCGGATAAAAGTAAACAGAGAAATCAACAAGCCGGTGTTGGTCAGTGATGAAGAACTACTCGAGAACTATGTTCTTCTTAGAATCGTTCATGGTGTTACATGTTCCTACATTTGACAGATACTGGAAAGCATATGGACACAAGAAATTATATGTAAGACATCTTCTATCTTTATCAGGACAACATCAAAATATCGCAACTGATAGCATCTCAATTTCAAAACTTATTAAAGTTTATGAAGCTGGAGAGTGTATGTGTATGCGTCTACAAACATATATGCTTTATTCTGCTACTGCTGCTGCTGCAACTACTGCTGAAAGGAAGTAATAGAACAAGCGGAGTCATCTGCAGGGAGCTTTTGCTAATTTGTGACACCAACCCTCATGAGGCCCAGATAAGCAGCAAGCCTGTACAAGACGAGCATCAGCAGCAAGGCAAACACGGCCAAAGCTTTGTGGTCGAAACCCACTAGCTTGATGGAGGGGAAATCTGCAATCTGGCATCTCATACTGGGAGTGCACTGGTACGTGTCATTGGGAGAGTACTGTGAAGCTATCTGGAGCTTGAAGGTGTAGTAGCTGAGGGAGATGTACTTGATCCACTCAATAAAAGGTGGGATGTTCTGGACGTAGAATCCGCCGGCGAGCATGAAGGATAACATGAGAATGGAGCCGAGCGTGGTGGCAGTCTTGAGGTCCATGACGAGCGCCCCCAGTGCAAGTCCCATGCCCTGCGCCACCAGCACGCACAGGAGCAAGACGGCAAGGTTCATGAAGAAGTTTACAGCAACAGGTTTTAGGCCACCCATCCAGTACGTGATGGTGATGAAGATGATAGGAAGGATGAGTTCCATGGGCAGGTCGCCCACCAATCTAGCGGCGAAGTACGATGACAGCCTATACATTCCAGAGGATCTCTCCTTTGTCAGCATCGTGCGCTCTTGCGGGAAGGTAAATATGGCTTCGAACACTGGGTAGAATGACCAGAATGAAGCGACGAAGAAAAGAAGGCCGACCTGCATGAATTAAAGATCATGGAAACTACTAAATGGAGATTGGAGACGTATCGAGAGAGAGAGAGAGAGAGAGAGAGAACCTGATCCTGGACGTAGCCGCCTGAGTGAAGCCACAGGAACCCTGCAAGAAGAGCTACTACGAGCACTTGCGAGATCTTTAGCCCAGAGAAGGACTCATGCTTTCTTTCCTTGAGATCCCTCTGCAGCAGCACAGTGAACTGTTCCCACCAACTGGTGCACCACTGAGTTTCAATATTGTCGGGCTCACACTCCTTGAATTGTTTGCTCAAAGCTAAAACCTCCTCTGACACCTTATCATGTAAATGTAATCTATAAGCAGACACTAGAGCTTCTTTGGTGGATGCTCTATCTTCTGATGTTTCATCCGAAGATACACCTGCACTTTCACAACCAGCCCACCCTCAACTAGTGTCAAACAGAGATCTATCAGATATAAACACCTCATCATGCTTTTAAGCTTTTCCAAGAATGAGAATTATAGTCCATTGTTAGAAATATTCTTTGCACTGTAAAAGAAAGATTTGCAACCATTACACCACATCTTATATTGCGTTGGCATCTAAGATAGATAGATGTCTTGCGAGCCATTAATCTAAAGCTAAAACATGAGATGCTCTATTGTCCTTCAGTAGAAAATCTTCGGTGCCAGAATCAAGGATAGGAATAAAGAATAATTTATGTACAGGAAAGCAAAACAGAGAGCACAGAAGCATAAGATGTAAAATCTCTCTGAGGTCATTTGAGCTTGGAAATGATAGATACAGTTGCTCTCAGAAATCTAGCATATAGAATTAGCTTCCTGTTCTTCATGTGGTGGGCTTGAATATTCTCAAGCATCAGATCCAAATCTCAAGTAGTTGGTCATGTCGCATTCTCAACCATCGCAGTGTAATCCAGACACCATGTTTAGGAATCAAGTAGAGAGAATACCAAGCGTAAAGGGCGCGTACCGTTGGCGAGGTCGAGCAGGAAGTCAGCAGGATTCATGGGCACAGTCGGAGCGTAGCCGACGCTGGCGAAGTAGTCCATGGCATCGGAACCTTTGCCGAAGTAAATTGAGTTACCATCCGATAGGAGCAGGACCTTGTGGAACATATAGAAAAGACGACTCGAGGGCTGGTGGATGGTCATGATCACCGTCTTGCCTCCCTTGGTGAGATCCCACAGGGTGGACACAATTCGTCCGGCGATGGTGGAGTCGAGTCCGGAGGTTGGTTCGTCGAGGAAAAGCAGGCTCGGGTCGATGAGCATCTCCTGGCCGATGCTGACTCGCTTGCGCTCCCCGCCGGACACCCCGCGCACGAGAGGGCCGCCAATGATGCTGCTGCGGCACGCGGTGAGGCCGAGCTGCGCCATGACGGCTTCCGCCTGCGCGACCTTCTCCTGCCGAGAGAGGGTGCTGGGAAGGCGGAGGAGCGCGGTGTAGACGAGGGTCTCCGTGACGGTGAGGTGCGGGTAGAGGACGTCGTCCTGCGTGACGAAGCCCGTTCTGCGCTTGAGCGAGTTGGTGAAGGGCTTTCCGTTGTAGGTGATGCTACCTGTGAGGAGGCGGGTGCGGCCAATGCGGCCGCCGAGCACGGTCAGCAAGGTCGTCTTCCCACTTCCCGAGGGGCCGAGCATGGCCAGCATCTCCCCCGGCGACACTGCACCCGAGACTCCCTTCAGGATCACCCTCTCGCCCTCCTTTGCTTTCCCCTTCCCCTTGGTCTTGATCTTGTACACCACATCTTCGAACTGCGTCCGACGCGACAAAGATTGGTTCGACATATCAAAGGGATGACAGATCGCGGCAAAGATGTTGTGTACCTTGAGAGTAACAGGACGTCGGACTCTGCCAAGGGTTGAACCACGGCCATCGCCGGTTCCATGGTTTGGTTGCGCTTCTATCTCCGTCTCCATCCTCCTACCTTAAAGATCTTCACGCATGCGCGAGTATGGACTTAAAATCCTTCCCCTGATCCAATCTACACCAGAGACATCCTTTCCTCAATGGAGAAGGAATCGATGAAGCAGGAAGGAATTACAGGAGACGAGGGGACGGACGCCACCACACGCCTCCACAATAAAAGAGCGGTACATTCCACCCTTCCTCAACAGCGAAGGAGCCAATAAAGGCTAGGTTGTGATCGCGTCTGTCACCCTTTTTGCCTCCACATTTAATGCTGATCTGGTGCTGGAATGATATGTGGCAGTGGCTCAAACCATCCCTCTCTGCCGGTGGAGGAATCAATCGAGGATTGAATCGGCTCTTCCTACGCCCCTTTTGAATCGGAGTTCGATACGTTCTTGCTACCTGATCCCGACTCGGAACGGACTCGGAGTTGCCCCTGCGAACAACTCGGATTCCAAATATAGGGTTCGTTTGCAGGATTCGGAAGAAACTCTTGTCGTCATTCAATGCGTCAAACATACACGATGTGATTGATCCTCGAGATTGCATTATCTCAACAACAAAAATAGTGTTAAATGCTTATGTGATTAATGATAAGACCATTTAGTTTCATGTTGGTTGAGGAGTATTGAAACCAAGGGTTTATAAGTCCGTGAGATCTCTCTTACTCTCGAAGACACCTTTTTGAACTCACATGCTCCGAAAGGATAAAATCATACAAATATGCCTAGAAGAAGGGTCCGATGCCTACACCTCAGTCGAGCAAACTAGTCGTGCACCTCGACTATGAGCCTTTGATTCTCATACTCCCTCTTTCTTACCCTTAGAGATTTTTTAGAACTCACATGCTCTGAAAGAATCGACCAAATGATCCCTTATCAAGTGATACAATCTAAGACAGGATTTAAACCATAAGTTACGGTCTGAAATTGAAGTATAAAATGATGTAATCTCGGTTGCTTACTTAGGTCGAGTATAGTAAACGCTCTAAAATACATTTGGTTGTGTGCCACCAATTAAGAGCAATAATCTTTTAAATTGGGTAATTAATCACGTTTATTTGACACAATAATATAGACCCCTTTGTGTTCTTCATTTGAACTTGCATCATACATTTAGGTCTATTTCATATCTCAAGGCTTGGTGAGAGAGGATTTTGAATCTAATATTTATTGCATCATTTCCTAACGAGTTAAGGATTATTAGAAATTAAACCCAAAATCGTGATCATGAAAGCAGAGCAAATCATGAATCCGAATAAAATATTTATGCAATACCCCTCTTTATTTGAGTTTGTATCTCGTTCATACGGTAAAATTATTCTAAACCAACTTACACATGAGAGCATGTTAAAATTTATAAATATATTAGGACATTTCATGACAACTTAAGTTTTTATGATTTGTATTAACAAAATCAAATTATTTATCGAATGAACGAATATTTAGATAGAATTTTTAAATATTATGTAATTCATATTACAATCCTTTTTTTTTCTTTTCATAGACTTGCTATAAAAATGTCACATTAGGTTTACTCATCTGTATAAATCTTTATCAAACCATCCATTTCAACTAAAAATTTGGTGTGAATTCAACTCATGTAATTAAATCTCCCAATTTAAGGATATTTTTTTTTCTTACTAATAAAATTTAGGAAATAAATATTCAACATTCCAAATTAAGTAATATTAATTTTATCAATAAATTAAATGAATATATAAATATAAAAAATTACCTTAGGTGTAGGACTATACGGGATTCCTCTCCTTTGTTCTTCACAAGCTAAAGTGAGAGGAACGAGGAGTTATGATGAGAGGTTTTTTTTTCCTTTCTTGAAAAATAAATAATTTCTTCTATTCTTTCAAGTGTCTATAATTTTATTTTTAGATTGAAACATGTTATAATTATTCATGAGTTTCTAAGATTTTTTTCTATTCTTTCAAGTATTTAAAATTTTATTTTTGTTTTAATATATATTGTAATTATTCTTGTTATATGTAGTTTCTAAAATTTTTATCCTACATGTATAATTCTAGTTATAATACTTGATTTCTATTAAACTTATATAATAGTTTATTAAAAAATTATTTCTCCTCTTATGCAATTTTTTCTTTTAATCTATTTATTATGTTTTAATGACTCTCATTAGATATTTTGATTATAATTCCATACTATAATTCAGAATTGAGGAAATTGAATAGAATTTCAATTGAAATTAATTAATAGGTCAAGCCAGACTCGTTGGCTAGGCCACAGCTCATAAACTATGCCTAGCCAGTATGTTAGGCTCTAACCCGTAAGCTAACTTAAGTCAAGCAGTCATGTGTAGTGCACATAATAAGTTCATGAGTCCCGGCCTAACATGGTGCATGCATGGTTATGTGTATGTGCAGTGCAATTCACTAGTACATGAATTGCCCAACTTAGCTCGATACTATGTAGTCTAGATTATTGTCCTTATTTTATTTGATTAGTTCTAGAATAATTAAATAAGGACTAGAAAGTTTTAATTAAATCGAGTTTAATTGAACTTAGGTTCAAGTCAATTTAGTACTAAACGATATTATTTAATATTGATGATGTGTGAAAGATGAATTGAGATATTCTAATATATAATTTCATTCTAATATGAAATGATTTTGTTTCCTTACCGAGGAATGGTATGACAGTTTTCTTTAGAGATTAATAGGTCATTAGACATGTTGGTTGGACGATTCCTCAATCTGCTATTAAGAAGAATATATTTTCAATTTAGCGGATAAGGGACACTACTCTAAACACTATTGAGAGTACAATATGGGTTTGTTTTCATCCGCTGTTAGGAGAACATAAACTCATCCCATAGAAAAAGACCTTTCCATCCGTTATTGAGATGTGCTCCTTTATGCATTTGATATATGTCAGTAAGATGATTAGCTTTTGAATATATATTTATTTTTAAAATAACTTATAGGGGTTCCTACTCAATATTGTTGAATTTTTTTTGTTTTATTTTTTGATTTGTAAAGTAGCTTTCGAACAACACCGATTGGATTTCAGTGGAGAGCATATCTTTATCTATCGTTAGATAGAGTCAATTAAATTTTATTTTTTACTTAGCATTACTATATTTTTTTTACTACTTTTGACTTATATTTTGATGAATAAATAAATTATAATAAATATTTATAATATATATTAATAAAGTGATGTTTATTTATTTTGCTCTTGATGTACCTATGAAAAGATATTATAATCCTATGAAAAAAAATCTAGGATGTAATATCTTTTTATAGTTTTAGAGCATGGTTCAAGGCATGTAGGTCGTATAATTAATTTTGACCGATAGTTGTCTTTTGACCTATTATAGAAATAATAAAGCCAATTCAAGAGCAGTGATTCTACCGCTCGAAGTGCTCATGATCGTAATGTTACTAGCCTACCCATGTGTTCGAGCAAATCGTAATTTGGAAGTTTCATGCATTATAGAGCAAATATTGTCCTCACATATACTTATCATTAATCATGTGATAGCTTCCTCGATAATATAGAAGACACCTCGTACCCCAGCACATGTCAACACTCTATATGATATACATAGAGTCCTTAATAATATTAGAGACTTCTTTGAGCTTCAGGAGGAGCGAGATAGAGCTCAGTAGAGTGAAAACAACATTTTGGATCATTTTAAGAAATTATGAAGAAAACATTTGAAACTATTAAATATAGAGAAAATTAAAAATTATCATTTCTCTTCTTTTATTTTGAAATGAAAGATAAATACTTGGTGAACCTAAAAAAGGAGGATATTAGAGGCAGAAGACTATATGGTGACTTGGGATCAATTTAAAAATATATTATATGAGTAATTATTTCTTGATTTAATTCATTTTAAGAAACAATAAGAGTTCCTTGGCATCCAAATAATTATTATTTCACTAAGCTAGTTTTAGTTCTCTCCACATATTACCTTCAATAAATATCAAAAAGCTTATCACTTTAAGAGGAGACTATTTTTAATATATATTCTAATAAATAAATAAATTATAATAAAATATTTATAATTTATATATTAATAAAATAATATTTATTTATTTAACCATTAATGTACTTGTGAAAAAATGTTATGATCATGTGAGAAATAATTCAATATATGATAACCCAAATCTTATCTAGTATATAGACAAATTATCTTGAATTCCAAGATGTTACCTAATGATGTTGAGAAAGCATTGTATAAAAGGTAAAAATGTTGAAGTCTATTAAAGCCTAAGTGTCTGCTTGGAACAAAAGTCTTTAAATAATCATGAATAAAAGATACATGTGAATTGGATAGATAATTAAACTATGAAAGGAGATGAGGTGATGCTTATGCTACAACTATGAGGAGAGTATACCATATCTTTATTTCTCATTTTTATTTAAATTATTTAAGTCATTTTGGTACTTATAAATGTGAATGGATATGAAATAGATATTTAAACTATATTTTGCATGAATCCCAAGATTTAGGTAGCTAATTGGATTTAGATTTACTATAGAATGATGCTAGATAAGGAAATTATTATATCAAAATTAGTTATTCAAAATGGATGCTTACATAGAGTCAACTCAACTGAAGCCTTATTTCGTGCAAGTCTGTTATCAATATTAAGAACAATTGAAGCCATAATTAGGGTATGACCGACAAAGTTCCTTTGATATATCAAGTGTGGCAAGACTGAAAGTATTATTTGACTAAAAAAAAATTATATAAGAATTCACATGAGGAGAGTTTTTATAGTATAGCTTTAGAACCGTAACACTCATAATTATATGCATTGAAATTAGAATGATTTCATATATCTTTCTGACTTTGATGAAGTGCAACAAATCTGTCGTACATACAATAGGCATAACGTGATGATAACGTTGAGGTGTTGATCATATAGGATCACAGGTTGCTGATCACATAACATTAATGTATTGATCATATAGGATCATAGCGTCAATCATATCATTATTCTTTTATCAAAAATAAAAATATAAAAAAATAATCCTTACACTATAACTTTGAAAAAAAAAAGTTCATAACTTAAAAAGAAACGAGAAGAGAAAAATTGATGTGTAGGCTGAAATTATAAAAGGATCACACCACATGAAAATGGGAGA